AGCAAGTTACACACTGTATGGATTTGGTGTGAAGAGTTGTGTATTATGGAAGCTAGGGCTGTTATGGTTGAACCACTAGGACTTTATATTTAGCTGGGACATGACACCATCTACCACTTCCTCATGCTTTTGTGCTCCCTTTCAGCATAGCTGCATACTCTACAGTAGCTAAATGAAAAAGGGGATTTCTCCAACAACATGATATTGTTGTAGTCATTACTGCAATCCATAGAATTTGGTGACGGCTTGTTTTAGAACTGGCAAATTAGACCTATGGATCAACATCTCTGCCTGTATTTGAATGGAGTGGATATGGAGACATTTGTGATGCACTTGCACCTCAAATTTTACCATTGCTTCACTGGTAAGAAGAGGCAGAACAGGTAGGAATGCTATGTGGGCATGGGACCAATATGGCAGAGCTATACTCTGTGACAAGGAAAAAGAAAATGCTTCCTTTCCAAAATGTGTATAATGTTTAAACATCCAGTTTCAGTAGGAAGCCTTAGGGAATTCCCATTTCTTTCACCTATATAAAAAATAACAACATAAATATATAGGTATGAAGTCACTTTACATCTAAAACCCCAAAGTGTAGGTGTTCTGTGTTGAATAATATCTCCATTGGATCACTGAAGAGTTCTAAACAAGGCAAGCATTCAAGTTGTATCAGAGGTCTTCACACAAAGATGGTACGAAAATTGTAGGTAGGGAAGAAACAAACAGTCCCCCCCCCCAAAAAAAGCAAATGAACCCGATGTGATGCCCTATTGATTGGAGACTGCTGGATGGTCATATAGATCCTGCACTTTTGGCCTGAGACAGAGACAACAAAGTGTCTCCTCCCCATGTAAGTAAAAGATTACCGTGCTCGTTTTATCTGCTCACTTGCAAATCAGCTCATCTTGTTTGAAAGAATCTATGTATTGTATTTTTGAAGGCTTTCATGGCTGGGATCTGATAGTTGTTGTGGGTTTTTTGGGCTCTTTGGCCATGTTCTGAAGGTTGTTCTTCTTAACGTTTTGCCAGTCTCTGTGGCCGGCATCTTCGGAGGACAGGAGTCAGAACTCTGTCTGTGCTCGGGTGCAGTTTGTTTGGATAGTTGAGTATTTATAGCTGTGGGATAAGCTTTTGTCCTTTTCAGGAGATTGGTGATTGTGGTGATCAGTGTGTTTTTTGTTGTGGGTGTCTTGTGATAAGAGGGAGAGATTATCTGTCACTGCGATTGATGGGTGCCATTAGCTGGTCTTTTGTGTTCAGTGATCACTGGTCCTTGTGGCTGGGTAGAGTTCATTGACCCTTTGCAGGCTGTATTTTTCAGTGCTGGGAGCCAGGCTTTGTTGAATTTTAAACTTTCCTCTTTTTTTGTTGAAGCTCTGCTGGTGTTTGTGGATTACAATGGCTTCCCTGTTCAGTCTAACATAATGATTGCTGGTGTTGTCTAGTACTTCACTATTTTGAAATAGAATTTCATGTCCGGCTTGTTTTAGAGCATGTTCAGCTACTGCTGATTTTTCTAGTTGTTTTAGTCTGCAGTGTCTCTCATGTTCTTTGATTCTTGTGTGGATGATGCATTTTGTGGTTCCAATATATACCTGGCAAGAATTGCAAGGTATCCCGTATACTCTTGCAGAGGTGAGGGGGTCCCTTTTCTCTTTTGCTGACTGTAACATTTGTTGTATTTCTGTGGTGGGCTTGAATACTGTTTGTAGGTTGTGTTTTTTCAAAAATTTCCCCATGCAGTCCGTGACCTCTTTGATGTATGGCCGAAATACTTTATTTGTGGGTGGCTGTTTTTCCTCTTCTGTTTGATGTTTTTTTCTTGGTTTGACGGCTCTTGTGATTTCAGTTTTGGAGTAGCCATTTGCCTTTTGGGCCCAATTCAGATGGTTGAGTTCAGTGCTGAGAAATTGAGCTTCACAGTTCTGATTTGCACTGTCTACCAGTGTTTTGATTATGTCTTTTTTTGTTGTGGGTGGTGGTTGGAGCTTTTGTGTAGGTACCAGTCTGTGTGGGTGGGTTTTCAGTAGATCTTGTGACACAACAGGTCAGATTTGCACATGACTACGACATCTAAGAAAAGGAACTGGCCCTCTATTTCTTTTTCCATGGTGAATTGTATATCTGGGTGGATGCTGTTGAGATGGTTTAGAAATTCTTCAAATTTTTCTTCACCGTGGTTCCAAATTGTGAAGGTGTCATCCACATATTGGAACCAGACTGTGGGTGCGAAGGGCTCCAAAGCCAGGACCTGTTTTTTGAAATGCTCCATGTAGAAGTTTGCTATAACCGGGCTGAGGGGGCTCCCCATGGCCACTCCATCTGTCTGTTCATAGAACTCACTATCCCACTGAAGATAGCTGGTCATTAGGCAGTGTTGGAAAAGGGCCTTGATGTCTTCTGGAAAGATCTGCTGGATGACAGATCCAGCGTCCTTTATCTGCTGGATGACAGATCCAGCGTCCTATCTGAGTGTCCTTTATTGGTACCTTAGTGAAAAGGGATACTACATCAGAGCTGATCAGTCTGTCCCTAGGGTTGAGTTTTAGGGTGCTGATCTTGCTTCTGAAACGTCCTGAGTCTTTGATGTAGGATGAGGTTTGTCCAATGTAGGAGGGTGGCTAGGTCTGTAGGAGGGTGGCTAGGTATTTTGCTAATATGTCAGGGAGCTGGTGGCACTTAGTGGGATTGAGTGGCAATCATTACAGCTTGAGTGAGATTGAGTGGCAATCATAATACTAGACTGAACAGGGAAGCCATTGAAATCCACAAACATCAGCAGAACTTAAAGAAGAAGGAGGAGGAGGTTTAAAATTCAACAAAGCCTGGCTCCCAGCAATGAAAAATACAGCATGCAAAAGGTCAACAAACTCTACCCAGCCACAAGGACCAGTGATCACTGCACACAAAAGACCAGCTAATGACACCCATCAATCACAGTGACAGATAAACTCTTCCTCTTATCACAACAATACACGCACAACAAAAAACTCGCTGATCATGATCATCACTCAATCTCTTGAAAAGGACAAAAACTGATCCCACAGCTATAAATATTCAACTATCCAAACAAACTGCACCAGAGCACAAACAAGAGTTCTGACTCTTGTCCTCTGAAGATGCCGGCCATAGAGACTGGCGAAACGTTAGGAAGAACAACCTTCAGAACACGGCCAAAGAGAACCGAAAAACCCACAACAACCAATCTATGTATTACCCAGAACTTTGTTTCTATGGACAGATCACACAGCTCCTCCCCCCCCCCCCAATTTTTGGATATAGTGTGGCTAAGCTTGCCAGGTGAATCTTGCTAGTAGAGGATAAAGCCTTTCAGCATGATTGAAATTCATTGAGGATTCCCAGTTCTCCCAGCTGCTAGGTGTAACTACCAATTTGGCTTTAATTGCATGCATAACCAAGTGGAAGATCTAAATTCAGTCTCCTCTTTTGCTGATATTAAGACTGCAATCTTGTTCCATCTATTTCTGCACCAAGCCAGCAAGGGAGATTGCATGCCACTTCCAAGGCAGTGGACTAGTCCATAAACAGTTGAAATCAGCAAGAAGGGAGACTATAAATGGTACCTTGCCATCTGTGTCTCAAGCTAGACCTGCAAGAGCCATATTGCCTCACCAACAGTCTGCATTCCACAGCAACGGTATCTCATCTGATCCAATTTTTGGACTATTTGTCTTCTCCTCTACCTCCAAGACTTATTCCAGCTTCGCCTGATGAGGAGTTGAGATGGGACTCAAAAGCTTAATTGGTCTGTAACTTTTTAGGAATTGAATGTTATTACCATGTCCCTGTATAAAAAAGCTTTTTTCCCTAGAAAAAAAGGAGTGGGTGGGTTCCAAGTCAAGTCTGAGTCATTGAAAAAAACAACAACCAATGAAGTCAAGTTCAAGTCGAGGCACCTGTGCGAGTTAAGTCCGACTTGAGAGTTCTGCTACCTGAGTCCTCATCTCTGCAAGGTAATCTTGCTTTAAATATCCCTCCCATCCATTGCTGCCAAATTTTGAGGAGAGTTTTAATTCAGGCTATGGATGGACAAAATTACCCCCCCCCAGATGTGATGAAGTTGCCCACCTCTTCTCTACAAGAAGGCTTCTCATTAGGTATGAGAAACAATACTTCTACTTCACACCCTCATATTCAAGCTAGGTGGTCATAGCAGCCATCTAAGAATATGTCTGGACAAATTTTGAAAAGCATATTTCTTCCCAGAATTTATCACTGAGAATCAGACCAATGGGATAATATCCTTCATTTTAGTAGAAATGAATAGGTCATCTGGTACATGTTAACCAGGTATAAATGGACTATGTGAAAAAGTCAGTTACAATGAAATACCTTCAAGTTATAAATTCATTTCCAGGGTTACTGCTTAGTCAACTTTCAAATGAAGTTGCAGTTTCTAAATATCTGGAAATAACTTGTGAATGCTTCCCCCTCCCCAAATTGATAATGGTGTTGAATATATATTTAGGAACCGGCACCCATTTTTTTGTGTTCCGGCGGCCATTTTGGAGCCGCAGAACAGCTGTTCCCCATCGTAATGTGAGCGTGCCCTCGCATTAGTGATGGGGAAATCCGCATCGCAATGCGGATTCATCGTTCAACGGTGCACTCGTTATACGAGGCACCACTGTATATATTTAGGAATTGGTGCTAGCCACCTCTGAGTTCAAAATTAGTAAATATTTTCAAAACAAATTATATACACATGCCTAATCAGAAGAAAGATTGAGTAGCTGAAATCTTGTTACTCAGTGTAGTAAGTCACAACTATAATAAGGTTGTCTGAATGAATGAAATTTATGTAGGACTTACAAAATCCCCACTGATTCAATCAGTGGGCCTATCTAAATGCAACATTATGCTAAGCAACAAGACTTCAGCCATTGAGTTGGGTGGATTTCTGTGTAGGTTAAGGGTGCAGCCTTAAACTGAAAAGCTCATATGTATTTTTTTCCCTTAAAAAACAACAGACAACAATATCGTTATAAAACTGGTTTATTTCTTAAAAATAAATACAAAAATATAAATATAAAACATTGGCAGATAGAATCTGATGAAATGAAGTTGCACAAAGTTTTTTTTTAAACCAGCTGCATATCACATTAACACCACGTGTACATTTTCAGGGATTTTTTAAATATAAATTTACAGAATAGGGGTATACTATTTTCTCCTCCCCCCCCTCCTTTGTGGGCCACGATCCAAAAAGATGTGCACAGGCATTCTGTGCATGCATTTGATTTGTTTGATTTTATACCTGTTCCTTTTTCAGAGATTGCATATGCAGAACCTACCAGACTAGAGTTTCTGTTGAAACTGGAAACAGACAAATGGGTTTGGAGCACCTTGACCTGTTTTTCAAAGGAACATGTTTCAGAGGGAGAAAAAAAAACCCACACACACCCTTTTGGCCATATGCAGAGCCTATCGGGAATGTTTTCCATATGAAATAACTCAGGAAGCTGTGTGGAGGAAGTGTAAAGGCAGTTTCTGGAAAAAAAAACAACAACCCTATTTTCTAAAGATGTCGGTGACAAGTGGAACATGCATGCATGGCTCTTTTGTGGATCGCGCTCTGGGTCTTTTTAAAAGCTGCACTTGAGAGTGTATAACATGTGTTTTAACAGAAGCAACTTGTATCTGATTGCTTGAGCGATTATAAACCTGCTCAAACAAATGGTATCGTTTATTCAATAAAATGGATGATACTGAATTTCGATAGCTTTGGCGTTTGGAAGGGGGTTAAATAAACTGCTGTATATATTCCATATGACATTATACAAGAAAGAATAAAAGACATTAATGCGCAAATTCAAACCAAATGAAAATAATAATTAAAAAACCCATTGTGCTGAGTGGCAGGAGAATGTTCCTGAACATCAAATATTGTCACGTGGAGAAGGTGTCTGTAAAGTTACTTCCTCTCAAATGAACAAAAAAATTTTTTTTTATATCCTACTGTAGGTTAGGAAGTGTCTTTATCACTTTCACCTCCACCATACATCTCAGCAAGCTTATTAAACCGAGGACCCCATTCCTTGAGGTAATCATAGTTCTGGTCTCCCTCGGTAGTGCCAGATTCTAAAGAACTCAAGGATTCAGCTATAGAATCATTTCCTTCATAGGCGTAAGTTGCAAGCGAATCATACGGCGGTGCGGAGGGGTCATTATCATGCTCTTTTAACCTTTGGTTAATGAAATCTCGGACATCTGTGTTATCTGGAGCAGAAGGAGTCCTCCGTGGTATAAATAATGTTTCCGGTATAATGTCTCGGCGGAGTTTCTTATCTTCAATAGCGGCAGGATTTCGCAGTGTACCAATATCAAAAGCCTGTGTATCTTCTTCTCCACCACCTTCATCATTATAACTCACAATGTTGTCTCTGATATCCTCTTTAGACAGGATCAGAGGCTCCTTCTTTCGCTGTCTCTTTAGAGCAGCAAACAACACCACTATAACTTGGAAAAAAGAAGGAACAGAATTAACTAAGAATCATGGCTTAAACATTCTTGGCTATTTTGGCACTGGGACTGAGCCCATCATTCCTGAGCTCCCTTTCTGGAGATTTCAACAGAGCAGCTTGCAACCTCAAATGTGCGAAGGTATTTGTGTTGCCTGAACCTGCACTGGTGATTCACTAGCACAGTACTGCATTATAACCTCATATCAGTGATAGACATGAGAGCTTTGTATTATATGAAACTCTATCTATCTATCTATCTATCTATCTATCTATCTATCTATCTATCTATCTATCTCTAACTAACTAACTAACTAACTAACTAACTAACTAACTAACTAACTAACTAACTAACTAACTAACTAACTAACTAACTAACTAACTAACTAACTAACTAACTAACTAACTAACTAACTAACTAACTAACTAACTAACTAACTAACTAACTAACTAACTAACTAACTAACTAACTAACTAACTAACTAATCGGGTTATACATAGTGTGATATATTTGCAAAAATGAATGCAGGATGTGGCCTGTCAGGATTTTACTTCTTTGTATGGTATTGGCCAGAATCCTACTGGCAATTTGCACTTGCATCAGAGAAATCATGTAAACTTGAGTGGCAGGTACTTGCTTATTAATTCAGTGCTGATTGTGGTCCTAATCACATGTGCTCAGGAGTGCAACCAGCACCATGTTAATGAGCTGTAATTTGCCACTGAGATGTGTGTGATTTCCCTTATGCAAGAATAAATCATCAATAAGATTCTAGCTATTTTGTCCTCCAGCAGATGATGATCCCCCATAACTTACCCAGCAGAATAATGATGCACAGCAGGATGGCAATGAGTGCTCCTGTGCTGAGGCCTGCTGGAAGGAGCAAAGCTTCAGCATTGCAGGACTGCATGTTCCCCCGGCTGTCACAGGCACATACCCGGATCGTCAGTGTGCCGGTGCTACTTTGGATGGGGTAGTCGTTGTCTGATATCACGACTGGCAGAAGGTAAGTACTTATTTCATGCCGACTAAAACCATTCCTTCTTGTCAAGATCCGGGCAGTGTTATCTAGGCATAAATGGGTCATAGATTACAACTAAATCACAAATGTATGCTTTCATTGTGAATGTATAATACAACCTAGCTAGTGTTGTTACTAATATTGCCCCAGAAAGGGGAAAAATCTGTTGATGAAATCAAGTTGAGCATGTTTAATATGTAAGCCTGACAGTCTACTTTATTTTCATTCAAAATAGTTTATTTTCCTTTCATTGACTTTGTTTAATGAGCAATTGTACTTTCTGCTAACTACTGAAGGTGAATTGGGTGATGTACAAAAGGATTCTATAGCCTTTGAACTATATACAAGCCACAAAAAACAAACAAACAACACCAGAAACACACCTGCTAAAAAACCACAGAGGTGTACATTGGCAGCTGGTCCTTCTTAGCCAAACTAGGCAAATAACTAACTTTGCAAAACTGGACAGTTACTGAAGCTGATGACTGTTATACATTCTGGCTGAAATTCCTCTGATTAATGGAAGAAAAAGTGTAACTTTCAGTCTGTTCCTAGCTGGCAAACAGTCTCTGCCACAATTCTTGAGGCACACATATTAGCTTGCTGCTCATGCATGCACCCTCAAGAATCACAGTGGAGACTTTTATTTATGCACTTTGGATTAATGTTGGAGCCGGTATAGACCAAATGAGAAGCAAACGTTCTAAAAGCTTGCTCCTGAAGAAGGCCACTGCTGAAATGTGTTGAGCCCAAGCTTTTTAGGTAAGAATAAAATCTGCATTGCTACCATTTTTAAACATCTGGAGACGGTGTCTCCTATTTGTACTTTTGATACATAGCAGAGGACCTTGAGGTCTTTCTTAGGAGTTTTGCAGAGCACCTTATTCACCACACTGAGGAACAGAATATTTGAACAGATTCCATTCATGCAGGGAAGGTCTTTAGAGTCTTATGATTCCCATAACATAATTGCCACCAAGACTATTACTGACTGGTGAAAAAATGGCTTTACTCAACTTTTCTGTGACTATTACTATGGTTTATAACCATCCATAAATCATAAGAACATGTCTTCCCTCTAAACAGACAGATCTCAATCTTTGCAGCCCAGAATTCCAATTTCTATTTATTCTTAAGATTTATCTGCTGACTTTTTGAATTCAATCACCCAGCTGCTTAGCACAGAGCCAAAAATAAACATGCAAGAAATGAACATACAGAATTAAGCATCTCACATCCTGAGCTTTCCTATGCATTATACCTTCATTATCCTGGACTGTGAAGTTTGGATTAACAGCGGCTAAACTGAAGAAAAACTTTTGGCCTCCAAGAGGATCATCTTTATCAACTGCACTTATGGTTTGTATAAGCTGCAGGGAAGGACAAAGAAAAACCAGCTGACATTCTGTGACATGGCTGTCTCATTGTTTTGCAAACATCAGCAGTCTCAAAGGATGCTTACAAATTGCATTTTCATATTTGCATTGTGCACAATGCCACATATTATTATCACTGAACAACACAGTGAAATTGGATACACTCCACATCATTTATTTAGTTTATGTTTTTGTATTTCAGAGAGCAGATATAGGTGATCTGGGGCCTAGAGACCAAACCTGGCTTTCAGTAGTTTTCATTTGGCTCATGATCTCTGGCACCAGCCCATTTCCCATGTAAGTACCACAGCTGCTCTATTCCAAGCTCTGACATAAGCAACAGGCTCTTTAATCAGACCGATACAATCAGCATGTACTAGCATATCATGCTCCTCAGCTCTTCCACAGATCTGAGTAGGAAATGTGGAAACTGCAGCAACCAGATGAGATTCTTAAAAGGCCCTGGAAACCAAACCCTAATTGCTTATTCACATTGAATTTGCAATCACATAACACTAGACTATGGTTTGGCAAAAGGCTGGGGTACCACACACCCACGTTACTCCCAGGCTGCTTCTGCAGCCTCTATTGTCTGCATTTGCTGCTGTCATCCCCAAAATTTACACTGATGATTCTGTGCTACTAAATGATCCACTACAGAACAATTTTTTTTTTTAAAAAAGGAGGAGGCAGTTGTTTGGGATTCCTTTCCAGAAGGCAGATACGTACTCTGACCAGCAGGTTGGCAGTTTCAGTACCTTTATTGGCATACAGTACAAGAGAGTGAGATACGGTAAAATGTTAAAAAGCATATATGCTATATGCCAATGAGACACCCAGATGACATTGTTAGGGCTCAATGATGTGTGATAGCATAATGTGATGCCTCTGCATGATGGAATGGATATATCTGGCTGTTCTCTGGGTAAGTTCCTTATTAGTGCCACTCAGCAGGTACCGGATTTTATCCGGGTTGCCCCAGCTGGAGTGGAAGAAGAGGAAGGGGCTCAAGTATTGCAGGTGGATATCCTAATACCACATACAATAAAACAACATGTGCTGCAATGATTCAACCACTCCCTGGCCACAAGGGCACACTCTCAGCTTTGTGGGTAATCCCCTAAATCTGCCCTGTACCAAGTTAGAAGGTACAATATTGCACCTAGCAAGGGTGAATACCCGTGGTCCTGAGGATGATCTATAAAATAAAGATAATCTGGTCTCCTGACATGGGATAGGGGAAGCTGGAAGTATAGCAGAAAGCAAATCTTTAGTGAAGCACTATGCACAGTTTGCCCCTTTAATATCCAAGGCTCTATTTTTTTTTATTATGCGGAATACCTGTGATGGTGCTCCGCATTGAGCCCAACAGATCTGGTGACAACCCGAGAGTCTTGATTTTCTTGATGAATAGGGCTAGACCCTTTGGAAATTCATTGTCAGAAAGCAGTGCTTGAAACAAGATGTCCTGGGCTGAGAAAAAACAGATTCTGCCCCAGTATTTGAAAAATCTGAGCCAAGCCAGGGCCTCAAACTTATGCTGGCCAGCTTCAAGGCATAGGGTCAGATAAGAAACACAAAGAGGCAGGCCAAAGATTTGATACAGAAACATTGATTGGACTCTTTCCATAGAGCTGTGAAATGCAGGCTTCCAAATGGGGACACCATAAAGAAGCTGTACGACAGATTTGGTAGTAAAAATCTGCTGCACAGCTGGGATGTATGAATTGGCCCATCTATGGTGGAAGTGCAAGATAGCCTGAGCTGAAAGCGTCACTGTATTAACCAATGAGTTGACTAGGTGTGTCTGTAGTGAAAAAAGACACCCAGGTACTTAAACTCTCTAACCTGCTGGACAGTATTACTGTTGAAAGACCAGGAAAAGGGCTTCCATGATTTGCTAAAAACTATTATTTTAGGTTTGTCAAAATTCAGTTGGAGCTTGTTACGTAACAAGTACTCATAGCAACCACTAACTAGCCCCCTTAGGCCAACCCTTGTGCAGGACAGGAGAACCATGTCATCTGCATATAATAAGATTGGAATCTACATGGGGCCTAGTTTAGGGCTGTGGCCATTAATCCTATGTAGGAGTGGAGCAAGATCATTGATGAATAGATTAAACAAAGTTGGTGCCAGGACACAGCCTTGCTTCACTCCTCTATTAGAGAAAATCTGAATGGAGAGAGCCCCCTGCACAGCAATTTTTATATGACAGGTAGAGTCTGCATGAAGTTTTTGGATCAGAAAGAGGAGCTGCCTATCAATACCTAGCCTAGAAAGCTTTAGCCACAGAATGTCTCTGTCAACAGAGTCAAAAGCTCCTTTTAGATCTAAGAAGGCTGCAAAGAGGCAGAAGCTACTCTGTGAAGCATATTTGGAAATGAGATGTGAAAGGATCATGCAATGATTCTAATGTAGACTTTCCTGCTTTAAATCCCACTTGTTCAAGACCCAGAATGTCTTGATCTACCGCCTTTCCCCGAAAATAAGACAGGGTCTTATATTAATTTTTGCTCCAAAAATGCATTAGGGTTTTTTTCAGAGGATGTTTTAATTTTTTCATGTACAATAATCTACATTTATTCAAATACAGTCATATTATCTTCTTGTGCTTGCTGCACGATGATGTACAATGGTGGAGGTCAGGATTTCACTTAACTGGGGCTTATTTTGGGAGTAGGGCTTATATTATAAGCATCCTGAAAAACCGTACTAGGGCTTATTTTCAGGTTAGGTCTTATTCTGGGGAAAACAGGGTAGAAGCCAATCTTGTAATTTTTGTAAAAGATGGCTGGCGTACAACTTCCTGGTCATTGAAAGACGGCATATTGGCCTATAATTTGAAGATTTCCTATTTCCCTTCTTATGAATGGGGATCATTATGACCTGTGTCCATGCTTTGGATATGATACCAGGTCAATTAAAGATGTAAATAAAGCAGCGAGAATGGGCGCCTACCAGTCGGGATCAGCTTTTAGCAGCTCCGGAGAAAGGGCATTGGGGTCTGGGGCCTTTCCATTTCTAAGGAGGCCTACGAGCTTTTTTATTTCACTAAATGTGATAGGGGGCCATTCCAGGAGGTCATCCAGTAGGAGCATAGCAGTTGGCACTGTGGGCTTGCAGCTATCATAAAAGATGGCCAAGAAGTGCTGCTCCCATGTCCCAGCTGGGATAGAGGGAAGATCCTGTGAGTTCTTGCTGAAAGTAGAACCCGAAACCACCTGCCCGAATGTTTTGTTGTTGCCCAATTTGATGGCTTGGACTAAGCGAGACCAGAGGCCCATAATGGAGCTGTGATGGAGCTCCTTGATGGCTATTGTATGGCAATATTCCATCATAAAATACTGTGTAGGGAGCCTGGGAGACCTTTAAGTTCTGTAGTAATTATAGATCCTCCACATGTCCAACTTCAGTGCAAGATATTCTTTGTCTAGCCTAGGTCTAATGTCTGGAGCCTGACTATCCTGGCGGTGTTGAAGGAACTGGCCAAGACTGGCTATTATGGTATTTGTTAAGATCTCAAAGTCTTTGATGTGATCCTCAAGGTTTGCTGAAAGTAGTCAGTTGGGGAGACCTTGAAATGTAATGTCTTGCTTAATTGCATTTTCAAAGAGGTACTTTGCTCTATAGTTCCATTTGATTCTCGGATCAATGGACACTCTTGTGATACTACATTAGACAAAAGGAAAGGGTCTGTATCAAGAGCAAGACCACAGCATAAAAGGAAGATGGTCACTGGCAGGAGGCTCGCCCACCCAGAACTCGGCAACACATGGTAGTAGGAAAACCGGAAGCAGGACATAGTCAATTGTGCTGGAACCATGGGGGAAAAGATACATGAACTTGTCATCATCAGTGAACTCTGAGAGGCCGTTTAGCCAAGTTAAGCCTTTAAGTAAACAAAGTTTGGCCAGATGAATCCCCACATCATTAATTTAGTGGTCTTTAGACTGCCCCTCTGGAGCATAAAGATGTAACAGGGAGGCATCACTAGACATATCCAATACACCATGGAATATAGCCTCTCCCTGACCTACTCTGGCATTAAAGTCTCCTGCTAGAAGAAGAGGGATCCCTAGGAATCTATATTGGAAAGTTTGCTACATTCACTCTAGATCCATTGTAGGGCAAGACAGCCACTCTCACATATTTCAGGCCACTTGAGAGTTGTAGCTTTAACTCTGGGCAATTTACTCTTTTTGTAGCCCTCAATAATGACAAAAACCTATGTAGACAGATGTAGTGGAGAAGTCTTCTAAGGGTTATCCTCCTCTTCTGCCCTTTGATAGTAGACATCCAGAACCAAATCCATATTGTTTTGCTGTTAATTCTTCCAAAATATCCTTCTCCAGATAATCTTAAAGTAGCATGCCCCACTTCACACTGTTACCTCTTTTTAAAGTGAAATACAATACTGGAGATTGCCAGGAAAGAGGTCCTTCACCCTTTCCCCTCTTGCCAATAGCTTGTTTTTGTCCTTTAGCTTTTCCTGCACAGATAGGAAAGCAGGAAGGGAAAGAGGATACTTTTAAACATGAAACCCATGGGACATGAAAGAGTTAACTCGCCCCCATCTTTCTGCTCCCAATCTGAAGCTTTCAGAGATGTTTTTGCCTTCAGAGGCAGTGCTGTGAGTTTCATCCAGCCCTAATGGCTGGCACTTTGCTCTTCTTGATGGCAAAGTCATTTCACACTGATCAAAGGACAGTTCAAAGCCTCTTGCTGAGAAGCAAAGCAAAACAAATGTTTGCCTTTTTGATACTAACAACTTTTATGCCTTTGTGTGATTTGCCTACAGAAAGCCTCTCTTTTTTTGAGATAACTGGGCATTTGCATAAAAATAGAATGCTGACAGTGATGTTTTGGAACACCATCCATGTCAACTCAAAGCACAATGGAGTTCTGTACTGAAGAATGATTTGTGAGGAGAAGAAGAAAAAAATCAAATTTGATTACAAATTACTGTTTATAGAATATAGCATTTTCCTTCATCAGGCAACACTGAACACAATTAAGAGAGTGTCTTTTAAGACACATCATATTGGAGAAAACAAGCAAACAGAAAAAGGGGATGGGGTGGGGTAGGATCTTGAATCTCTTAAGAGCACAAAGCCCTTTTTGTGGGCATACAAGAAAGCTATTTGGTAATTTACATGTTGATAGTGCTGGGAAGCATTACTGTTTAAAGCTGGGTTTTGATTTGCTGGCAGCAAATTTGCCCCCTTTTCATGTTCCATTTCCCAAGCTGCTCTCTCATAAACAATCTATGACTTGGTTTTGTCATTACATTTACATAAATGACTTACTTGGCCCACTCTTGCATTCTCACACACAAAAGTATCATAGAATACGGCAAACTGTGGTGCATTGTCATTCACATCCAATATTCGGACATAAACAGAAACGCGAGTCATCTCCTTGGGGTTATCTGTCAAAGTGGAGGAAAGGGAGGATTCATTTAACAATGGATTCTCTTTTCTGTCACAACTAGTCAGTGAGGCCCCAGATACAGTGCATACTTCAAGACAAAACAAGCCCTATTTTATTGTATACATTTAAATCAGCTAAGGAAAATGTTGGATTCTTTACTGAAACTCTCTCACTACTGCAAATGTCATCTAATAGTAGAGATTTCTTCCTTCCATCCCAAAGCTGTAGAGAAAGATTGGGTAAGCTTAGGTGGCCTGAGGACTAAAATTATTTCCCAGCAATCTCCTTGGGACCCATAAAGCCTAGAAATGCTAATTTTCAGCTAGTGGCCAAAACCCTGTTGCATATGTTACATCTGTGAATGGGTAAAGACATCATCAGGAGGGTGAGATTTTAAGTAAAGATTTCTTCCTTCCACCCTATGCAATAATATGGACTACTCGCATCAGAGACAAACTATGGGACAGAAGGAGGAAGTCCTTACTGAAAATTTAGCCCCACCAGTGATGTCATCACTCTTCTGGAGATGTTAGATATGCAACTGGATTTGGGGCACTAGCTGAAAACTGCCATGGCTAAGCTTCATGTGGTCGATGGAGAGGTCTGAGGAACAATTTTTGCCCTCAAACCATATGAGTTTGCTGTTTCTCTATAACCTTCTGAAGCAGTGGGAATGTAAATGAAGATATTTATTCAGTACTTATTATCCATGCACAAAGATAATGGCAAGAGGGGACTAACACAGCTCTACCCCCTTGTCTCTGGTTTTCACACCATCCTCCATATATGGGAATAAATATATATGGGAATAACCCAGAAGGATCCTTCTATTATCTCCACATGAAACTCTGGTTTTACAACGTTTTGGCTCACATGGATTGCTCACATAGAAAGCAGAGGCTCTGTCTCTTTGGACAAGCACTCTCCTTTTGTAAGAAAGGCAATCAAAGTGAAAGTAGAAGGGTAGATATAGAGCATCTGCACAGAAAATAACACTTGATAAGCTCCATGGATATACATGTCCTTGAACTTCCACAACTAGTAATGGGGAAAGAGACTGTTAAAGAACTGCATAAGATGTCTGCAAGAAAACAGACATAATTGGAGTGTTTATTTCTTATAAGAAGCCTCTTGCTGTCAAAGAGAAACCAGGGGGGAGATCCTCTTTTCTCCTCACAATGGAATTCTCTTTGCAAAATTAGAAACAAAAGAATCAATCAATCAACCTTGCAGGGAATCTTACAGAATTCCTCAGAGGTTTTGTGGAAGAAAATGCCAAGCTTTTTTTTTCTGGAAGAAATGCCAAGCTGCACAGGGTTAGTGCAATTCCTAAGTAGAACACAATCTGTCCCATGTATGATTCTCTGGAAGATGCATTGAGCTGAGCAGAATGTGGCAGCTTTCCGCACAGAACTTTGGGTGAAAAACAGGAGGAAAAATAAAAGGGAAAACAAGACCTGTGTTTATTCTTCATGGGATGCTGGGAAATCTCAGCAAGAAGTCTTGCAAATATAATATCACTGAGAATGAGAACTTTTTGCAAGTACTCATCACATCCTTAATTTCTGGAAGGTCTAATCCAGCTGCATTTTCAGGCTACAGCCAGGGTGCACGTTTATGTCCCAGTTAGGTAAGTAGCAATTTTACCAGTTAGCTCTTTGCAAAGATTTGTGGAGTAGGAAGGAGACCACACACGACTGGTGCTCTTTCTTATTGTTTACAGTAAGCTTCCTGAACTTAAAACTCCAGAGATTTTGGGATCCAAACCTTGTTCTCCCCAACCACCATGTCCAATGACAGAGATGGTAGGAGCCGTAGTCAACCCATTTGGCAGAACCAAGGTTAGGGAAAGCTGGCATATACACATCCAATCCAGCAGTCTTCCACTCTCCTGCACATATATGTGCAGGATTCTGCTTCTCTTGTTGGGTGGAGATGGAAACATACAAAGATTTTTACTCTCCCAAGTTTTTGTTTTTGTTTTGTTTTTGCAGAATTACATAGAAAATATACATCCAATGAAAAATTGACTTACTGATTTCAGCTGCAATCACACTAAGATTGTGCCACTGTGACAATTCTCGGTCAAGCATCTTAGAAGTATAAATAGATCCATTTCCAGAATGTATATTGAATATCCTGTCCAGGTCCGTATGACGATCCAAGGAAAACCTAAAGATGATTGAGTAGATATATTTTTGTGTTGGTTGCTGCATTTTTGCCATTTTCAACCTATGAGTACATTTATTTTAAGTCAAGTAAAAGACGGATGCCGTGGAAACACTCACACTACAATTTTCTTCCTTGCCATCAGTGAATGTCTTGGAAATCCACAGCAGAAGCTAGTCATGCATTTTCCCACCCCACTCAGCAATTCCTAAAGTCATTTTGCACAAGAGGCCATGCAGCAACACGTCTAGTTGCCAGTTGCACATTGTCATCCATGGAGCAGAAGTGTTACATTGAAGTGGAAACCAAAAATGCTGGTAAAGCTATTGAATAAATGCCCCCTTTGCTGAAACTCTGTTCAAATCATGGGTGGGTATCATTGGAAGCTCATGTCTGAACAGAGAGGTGACTTATTCTACCATTGTGAGAGGCAATATGTGACATCGCCGTAAATTTTTCTATGCTTTGCTTTGCAGGCTGCTCCTTGTAGAGGAGGAGGTATACAAGCCATGATGCTGCACAATTAATCACCTGAAATGTTGTGAAATTGAGAACAATACAACAGCATCATGTTTGGAGTGAAATGAGACATTACAACAGATGTTTACTGTCTATAAACAACATTTTTAGCCTCCAACATGATTTCCTCAAAAATGCACGCCTCAGTGATCAGACTTGCAAATTATGCTCTTGTTTATTTTCCAATAACAAAACAAAGCACACTAAATGCCAGATATATCAGTGTGGAAAATTATGTGGTATGACAAATCGACATCTCTGACCATTTGAGGAAGTGCCTGTGCAAAAAAAACATGATAAAGATGTTGTCTGGTTAGTTGTATGTCTGACAAAGCTTCATTCCATGGAATATTATATAACCTGAGATCGCATGATTCCCTGCTTTCAGGACTGAGCTCTTCTGCTTTTAAATTGGTAGTCCATTCGCAAACCCATAACAGCACTGTGTAGAATGCTCAGTATATTGACACCTTGAAATTATAGTTCCACTCAGAAAGCTTTTTTGTGTGCTTCCTATCTAAGGAAAATAAGGCAGCTGTGAAGAGTGTCAGTGTAAAAAAAAATTGTTGACATCATTTGCTGGTATAGAAGAGTGTGTGTGAGTGTATGTGTGAAAGACTTGTGTTAGCATAAATGTGTGTAATCATCTTTGCAGAGAAATTATATTTAAACTGTGATTTGAATTTTTTTTACCTAAACAGTTTTGTGGTATCAAGGGCCTTTCTGCACTCTGTAAAAAGACAGCTTAGGCACAACCTTAATAACCAACTACTGTGCTTTAATGGGCAAAAGGCAACTTTTCCTTTCCTCTGAGCTGAACCCAGATAAATACAGTCATTTAGTTTTATTAGCCTTATTATCTCTGTAGGCCAAAAATATTTAATTAGGAAGGTGTAATGTAACCCTGCTGCTCCTACTTCAAACCCCAGATAATATCACTGTACGTTGAATAAATTGAAGGGCAGCCTTTTCTTCCAGCATTATCGACAGTTCCAGCTAATTCTTCAACCCTGGCTTATTTTACATAAAACAGGATTCCTAGCCATAGAACTCACGTTTTGTACTAGCCTAACCAAACTTGTTCCTTTGCTTATCTTCATGACATCTCTCTGAAACCACGAAAGGCCAACCTCCTATCTATCTATCTATCTATCTATCTATCTATCTATCTATCTATCTATCTATCTAATATGTTGCCCACACTACCCAAAGGTCTCTGGGCAGCTTACAACAATGAAAATACAGTAAAAAAGATAAAACAATTAAAATACAATTAAAATATATACTCTAAAAATTGCCATCAGGACCCACAGTTGCTATTATTTCAATTAAAAGCCTTCTGGATCAGAAAGGTTTTGGCCTGGCACTGAAATGTCATCAGCGTTGGCGCCAGATGAATCCCATTCGGGATGGTGTCCCATAGACTGGGGGCAGCTGCCAAAAAGGCCCTTTGTCTACAAGCCGTCCCTCTTACCTCCTTGAGGGACGGCTCTTTCAAAAGGGCTGCCTGGCTAGATCTTAACTGCCAGGTAGGCTCATATGGAAGGAGGAGGTCCTTCAGGTATCCAGGGCCCAAGCCGTTTAGGGCTTTATATGTCAAAACAAGCACTTTGAATTGGGCCTTGGCAGAATATTCCACATTTACATGTATTTGTACCTAAATGGGTTCCTCTGAACAAAAATATTCAAATGCAAAAGAAAAGACAAACATTGGAAGGGGTTTTTGGAGAATAACTGGACCCTATCATTACTTAGATGTTATTGTTGTATGGTCCTATTTTTTGTAATTACTATTATTGCTATTATTTTACTTCCATTATAAGCCACTTAAAAGAACTTGTGGCATATAAATTTTGCTAATAGATTACAAAAAAACTGGATTTGTGGGTTTGTAAGGTACTACATTCAGGAAAATATAATCTGTTTTCTTCGCTCCATAAGACACACAGACTTTCCGCCCCCTCTTTTGTGGGGAAAAAGTGCGTCTTATGGTGCGAAAAATACGGTACTTAAAAGAACTTGTGCATATAAATTTTGCTAATAGATTACAAAAAAACTGGATTTGTGGGTTTGTAAGGTACTACATTTTCTTTTCCTGTTCTTGCTAAGAGAAATCTAAGTAATCTGCTGAAAATATTTATGAGTATTGATGGATCTTTTGAATATACCAAATCCAGTCTTTTCAAGTCCTTTTGCCAGTAATGCTTTGTCTATCTTTTCTGCCATGCATTCATGCATTTGTGTATTTTGCTAACTGTTGCTGATTCTCACATCATAGGACATCCAAACTGTCTGGGCAGACATTAACAAAACATCATTAGTCTGATGGTCATATAATATGAACAAAATGGGTGAATGATGAGGTTACACCTTTACAGTTCACATCTTTACAGAGCAAGTTAGCCTTTTGAGCTAACTTATTTCAAGTGAGATTGCAATACAGAACGCAGGTAATGTCCAAAATAAGAATCTATTAGTTACTCCCACTGGTGTAAAGCCAGTACTGTAAAATTCAATGGCAAATTGCCACAAGTTAAGAAGCTAATGTAGGAATCTCCTATCACACATCAATTGTGTAACTCAATGTGTTATAGGAATAGTCTACTCTACACTGACTTCTCAATCTGTTAAAATTACAGTGCTGGCATTACACTGGTGGAAATACCCAATGTATTTCTGGCAAATCTCATCAGATGTTGCTGTGTAAATATCATATGAACAATTAACACAGAGAAGGAAACCAGTGTGCTTTTGAAGCTACAGAGAAGCTCCTAGTGGTAAACCAGACATTCACTAAATAATATGCAGTGGCATTTTAGTAACATTTACTGTCCTTTTGAAGACAGCAGGAAAAGAGAAAAACCAAATATGAGATGAATTGGCTCCATAAAGCAAGCTAGGGTTTTTCAAAAGCTGCGCAGGCCTATTAATGACAGGACATACTGGTGCAGGGTGGGTACAAATCCATGATTTAAAAAAAAATCAAATAGATTTTTAAATAAAAATGATTTTATATTTCTATCATCCAAAATTCTGAGATTTTTTATTTAAATTGTGATTTAAATCACTTTGCTATAGTGATCTAAATCAAAGAAATTTAAATCAAATCCACCCTGTTTTGGAGGTCACTCTGTCAAAGGGTTGCCATACGTTGGGAGGCAACTTGACAGCATATAACAATAATATAGCCTGATAATTGACATACCATAATACTTACAGTAGCATTGTTTTGCATTTCATAGTTGGCACACTATGGTATTTCCACTTGGTAGTATTTGAAATCTTACATTTTATGAACCTTCAGATTTGATGTCTCCAAAAAAAAAACCCAAGCAAATTTCAAATGAATAGTTTGGAGTAAAGTATAGCCAGTACTTTACTCCAAAACAAACATTTCAAAACTCAGAAGCCACTGGCAAATTTCATATATTTGTGGATGTCTGTTTTAACTCTATGAAGAATCTTTTGAAAAAATGTTGCATTCCCTCATGTAGTGGTATATGTTATACACACTGAGAGAAACAACATTACTTTTATTTCTAAAATAAGAGATGCCAAGTCAAAGCTTGCCTTGAGATTTCACACTGTGATAGCCCTGAGTACTGTACTTCCCTAAAAGTATTAACTGAATACTTTTCAGAAATTAGATAAAGGGATCATTATTTGGATTATTATGAAAGTTTAATTTATATCCTGACTTTGCATCAAAACCTGGACCCAGTGCAGCTAACACTAATGATTATAATGAGATGATGTTGATAACGACAAAAGTCTCAAATAAAAAAGATATGCTTTTGATGGCAGAAGGACTAAGGACCAAGAGAAGACCACGCTCACAAGTAAGCACACTTGTAGGGAAGTCCTCCAGACAGTCTGGACCTAAGCTGTAGATAGCTTTATAGGTCATAAGGTGACATTTGAATTGTTTGGAAACACACCAGTGCATGTAAAGCTGTTTGTAACAAGGCAGCCACATGCTCACTGTAGCTAGTTATGGTCAGCAGTCCCATTCTGGACCCATGGAAGTTTCTGAACACACTTCAAGGATAGCACCACAGCATGTGTAAAGGACAGCACCACAGCATGTGTATTATAATAATCCACAAAGGAAGTAACTGGGCCATGTGACACCATGGCCAGATCTGAAATCTGCAGTAAAAACTGGAGTTGGTCTTAGTCTTCATTGTGCAAATGCATCACAGAAGCTGATGACTGTTGAAATGGGAGCATCTGATATTCAGGGCTGCATTCAAGAGTACATTTAAACTGGGAACACGAGTCTTCAATGGTATTGAACCTTTAATTTCACAGAATTGGTTTCCTGTTCCCTTATCTGCTTTTTAAGGAGGCATTTACCAACATTATCAGACAGTGAGTTAAAACTAAAACAGCTTCCTTAACTTTATACGGAAAGGCAAGCAGAGTTGGGTGATACCAGCACAGTGGCTGCACTAAACCCTTAAATTCTGGAAAACTCTCCCAACAGTTTCACCTGTATGTGAGCAGAAAAAAATCTGAAGGAAAGGGGAAGCTAATAACCATGGGATTGAACAGGAGTCCACTGACACAACCTTTTGAATTACACTTCCAAGAAGAACCACAGAACCATAAAAAAATGTGATCAGCTTGCCAGACAGATGCCCTAAAGAGATAACACAGTCAACAGTACCAAAAGCCACTAAGAGGTCCTGCAGAAGTAATATGAGTAGGTTTCTCTGCTCATCATCCCAAATGACCAAAACAGTCTCTGTCCGAAAGCAAGGTTTGAAGCTAGATCAAAACGGATCTAGATAATCTGCCTCATCTGTCCTGTGTGACTGAAATACTATCATGACCTCCTTGCGCTTACTTAAGGAGAGTGGCCAGGATCCAATGTGGTGGAATTAAGGGAGGTGTTTTTTGTTTGTTTGCTTTTTAACTCTGACCACTTTCTTTTGTTAGTATCATGGAGCTACACCGTGCTGCAAAGATACATTCAGCACTACTCACAGCCACTGAACTAGCTTCCCCAATGGTTTCAATAAATGAGGAAAGGGTTAAACATACTGTACACATGATGGACTTAGCACCTTCAAGAACAATGTCCACATTCTTGGACTGTGCAAATTAAGAAATACCCATTATTATTAGATGAGCAGAGGAAAAGATATATTCACTGGTCCTATATCAACAAAGGCATTCATGTGGACAAAGGTACAGTATAAGTACTTATGACTGCAGAGCATTGTGCATACCTGATAGGGCCTGCTGCTGAATCTGGATCCCGGGCCATCACAGTTCCTATTATTGTGCCCACCTCAATGTCTTCATGAATCTCAAAAAGGTATGAAGATCTGCTGAATATGGGAGGTTCATCCACATCTTCTACAGATATTTTTACAGTAGTTGCATCTTTAAAAGGCCCAAGGTAATAAAAACGTGGGTCAACATATAGATTCTCGGCTTCTATTTTCAAAGCATATAGCCTTCGATTTTCATAGTCCAGTGGCTGGAAGAAAACACAGGGATGAAACAAAATTAACAGTGTGAAGACACAAACCAACATACGATAGAAAGGAACCTTAGAATTTTTTGATAAGAACCATATATATTTAAGAATGTTTAGAATATATGTTTAGAACACTTTAATGTATCGATAAGTAAGAGATACAATAGTTACAAACAAACATAGATAAGTTGTAATCTGTTATATTAATATATGTATAGATTAAGAGGGTCAGAGCGGGCATGGGGAAAGATCTGATCTTTTACAGGGAATGTTAAATTTTTCTGGCTCCCTATAGTTCCACAGGGCACAGCTCAAAC